GAATGGAAAGAGGTTTCAACAAGAGAAAAACAAAGAAAGCAAAAAAAAAGGAGTGTGGGTGGGGGGAGGAGGAAGGGAAGAGGGGAGGAAAGAAAAAGGGGGTGGGGAAGATCATCCACAACTCAAACAGGAACACCCTTGGCTATTGCATCAGTATCACCATTCCGCTTCTGGTGAACGTGGATAAAATGAATCTCTCTACCTCGAAGGGATGTATCAATACGGTCAAATGTACATCCATTGCCAAGGAGTGACAGAAGGGTGGTGGTACTACTTAATAACATTGAGGGAATCTCTTTCAATAAAAATTCGATGAAAAACATCGTCAATCCTAGAGATCCCATGAAAGAGGGGCCCCAAATTTTGCTTCATTGACCGAGCATGGATGTAAGCTACACTGATAGGTCTAAATAATATTCCCCACACTATCCTTGAGAAGACCCCATACTTTGCCACTTGGCCATCCTCCTTCACGCGGCCATCAAAATTAAGCTTAACCCAACAAGCTGGTGCCGGTAACCATCGACTGTTCTTAATAAACTTCCTTTTTCTTATAACCAAGAGTACCATAAGGTGTGAATAAAAAACACTCTTTATGGAAATGCTTGAAAGAAGGGTACATCTGAGCCCAACCGACAATGGTTTTTAAGATGGATGCTGTAATGAGTTTGAAACTCCTCACTTTTTCTTAAAAAACATCTAGCATTCCTCTCTTTCCAAATAGTTCAAAGAATCACCGCGACACATAAACACCATAAGAGTACCCCCAAGCAAGAGAAAGGAGGCAACCAACCATGTTGAAAGATGCCTTGAAGGTGACATGGCATCACCCAATGCCAATTGCACTTAGTCAGGAGCCAATACCAGACTTGGCGAGCTATACGGCGGGTAAGAAAGAGATGAGAGGCACACTCTGCATCCCGTTTACACATAATGTAAATATTTACAATTGAAACTCCCATGATGTGCAACTGATCAATAGTTAAGACCTGTCTTCAGCTAAAAAGCCCAAAGAAAATCTCTCATCCGGAGGGGGCTTTGCACTTCCACACTTTATATATATATATATATACTCTTGACAATATTTTGAGGGTAAAGAATGAAAGAATAACATAAAGTCCTATACAATATTACAATAGGCAATATTTGTCTTAATAATTATAACTAAATCCTACCTCATAAATCCTTATTTTTATTTGATTTATTTATTTTAATATTTCTCTAGTTCAATTATTTGGACAAATCCAAACCTTATGGGTCGCTATTCCTTTGATTCAACATAGATCTATGGGGTGAATTATCCAATCCCATCAATTCTGAGTTCTAGAACACTGATTGGAACAATCATGTGACTTATTGATTAGTTGTTATAGCAGGTTCAAGTGCTTCTTTCTTATTTTGTGAATTTTGCATTTGTTACAAGAATTCAGATATCTAAAATGTTCTAAACACTTTGAGCTGCATATGTTATTTATGATAGTTAAAAAATGATTGTGACCTCTTTATACTACAAATAAATAATTTAGTGTACCATCTGAGTTTTATACCACAAATAAATAATTCACTATACCATCCGGATCATACGCTCCTTTTATGAATAGAGTATGAGGGAGAGAGGTTGAAGACAAATAAATTATAGCACTTGAGAGAAGGATAAAGCGATATAGAGAAAGGGCATATATACACACCCATATAAATTATGGAATTTCTGGCTATTTACTTCTTTATGTAGTTATTTCACATTACAGCTGAAATCATTTGATCCCCAGCCCAAACACTGGGTTAGAGAGTATGGGGACATTAAAGCCCCCCAAATACACCAAAACACACACATCCAAACTTTTAAAATCCCCACAAGGACTGGCCTAGCTTTTATCACAAGCCCTAAAGCCCTAAAAGAGAGAGAGAGAGAGAGTTTAGTGAAGCTGCTCATAAAATTGAAAGAGATAACACACATCCACACTTAAAAATCCACACACAAGGACTGCCCTAGCTTCTATCACAAGCCCTAAAAAAGAGAGAGAGAGAGAGAGAGAGAGTTTTTAGTGGAGGTGCTCATAAAGTTGTGGGGGTAGCCTTGGTTTCACTACAGCCACAAGGGGCTCCTTCTTTGGTGTAGACAATCCAAATATCTCCTCCATGTTCAAATCTTCCTTCTTCATTCCCTCAGGCAAGCCCCACTCAAACCCATGCACCAAATTGGCGAGGCTCGTCTGCATGGATCCAAATAATATTATTTATACTATAACGGTCAATAGAGTAAGATGGTGGATTAAGATTCGTGTAGCTAAATCCGATTATTTAAAAAATTAATAATGATGATGATATTATAATGGTCAAAAAACAATTTTTATTGCTAAAAAATGTTATACCAGTATTGATGCTATGATAATGGTGAAAACGATGGTTTTCCACCATGGGATCAAAGAGGGAAATTAAAAAGTCCAATAACATTATTCGGCTATAACAGCCACTACCGTTGCATTGGCCATCATAACGGTCACAAAAACGTTATTTGATTTATAAAAGTGCATTATGATCCATATGACTGTATGAATCTTGAATCTTAAGATCAAGCTTTTTATCATGGTCCAATCGTTTGTAGGATGGTGATGGTCGTGATATAGCCAAGTGGTTGGTCCCACTCTCTAAATCAATCACCTTTAACAAATCGAATGGATGATGATGACGTTTAAGATCGCATAGTTTCTATAATCACATGGATCATGAAAATTCAAGCATTGTTATTCCGTTATAATGATGGCTGCTTTGATGAACTAATGACGTTATTTGAAGAATGTTGCTACCTGAATCACCCTGAGCCCCAAATTGTAACCGGGGCACATCCTCCTTCCGGACCCGAATGGCAACAACTCGAAATCCTGGCCCTTCACATCGATCTGGCTGCCCAGAAACCTCTCGGGCCTGAACTCGTCAGGCGAGTCCCATATCTTGGGGTCCCGCCCTATGGTCCACACATTGACTAGGATGCGGGTCCCAACCGGCACATCGAACCCAGCTATGGTGCAGCTCTCGCGAGCTTGCCTAGGCACGAGCATGGGTGCGACTGGGTGCAATCGCATGGTCTCCTTGACTATGGCAGCCATATAAGGGAGTTGGGGTATGTCTTTCTCTTCAACCCAGCGTGTTTGGCCAATGACTTGGTCGAGCTCCTGAGTGGCCCTTTCGAAAATTTCAGGGCGACGCAAAATCTCAGAGATGGCCCACTCGACAGTCACGGCCGAGCTCTCGGTGCCTCCTGCGATCATGTCCTGGAGGGAAGAGAAACAAAGGGGGTTAGAGAAAGAGAGATTCAAATTGAGGTCTGGAATCTGGATAACGTGGTTTTCACTGTTATACAGTCTCTCACAAAGGGTGCCCGCCAAAATTTAGACCCATACCCAGACCCGAGGTCGGGTCTAACCGTTGGGTCCCCGGTCTGGTAAGTCCATTGCCACTACTTCACAATTAATGTTTTGTTAACAGAGATAGAGATTCAAATTAAGGTTCGGTATGGCATGTTTTTCATTGTTATGGAAAGAGACAGAGTTGATAGAGACAATTAATTGATGTGAGTTCTTAGCGAGACTATTTGCTTTGCTTTGGAATTTTTTTTTTTTTGTTTTTTTTTCAGATGAGTTTACCAAATTAAGAATTGAGCTTGAGATATAGCTTTGCAAATTGCTTCACAAATCGTCGAGCGCTAACCAATTAAGACGAGGGTCTTTCATAAAGAAAAAAGAAAAAAAGTGACCAATTAAGGCCAGGGTCTTTGATAAATGAAGAAAAGAAGCGTGTAGAGGCTACCATCTTTTCGTTTTAGAGAGAAAAATTCCCCAATTTGAAAACGCCAACAGAAGTGAGAATAAATAAGACAGATTCTCACAAGCAAGCCTAGTGGTCATTATTTTTTTGGGTTAGGTGGGTTAAAATAAATTTGGCAAATCTTGTCAACTGCTTTCATTGCAATCTTTTATGGCAACTTATTAAATGTACTATTCTTTGAGTACTTGAACCTCCTTCTTAGAGAGAGAGAGAGACAGAGAGGAGCTAACTTGTATGAAGCCCTTCACATTCCATACTGAGTTAGAGAGAGGCAGAGATAGAGAGAGAGAGGGGAGCTAACAACTTGTATGAGGTCCTTGATATTTCCATACTAAGCTAGAGAGAGAGAGAGAGAGAGAGAGAGAGAGAGAGAGAGACAAC